AAAAAATTAATTTTTGGAAAACAGCAAAAGAGGAACTAGAATGTTGATTTTGGAAAGTTAAGGGGCCAGAGGAACTTGAAAGAATATTTCCTGTGGGTCGTATATAAAAGTATATGTGAAGATTTTGAAATTAACTGTAAGAAATCCTCCCGTGGGAAAGTTTTGCTGACTGGAAAATAAACATATGATAAGAGGGGACTTTGAAGGTTGACTAGAGGGAACCAGAGAGAACTAAGGATTACAGTTAAAGGGCTCCCGTGGGAAAGTTTTGCTGACTGGAAAATAAACATATGATAAGAGGGGACTTTGAAGGTTGACTAGAGGGAACCAGAGAGAACTAAGGATTACAGTTAAAGGGCTCCCGTGGGAAAGTTTTGCTGACTGGAAAATAAACATATGATAAGAGGGGACTTTGAAGGTTGACTAGAGGGAACCAGAGAGAACTAAGGATTACAGTTAAAGGGGATGAGACCTATTAATACAATGGAGCAATATTATCTGACTACAGAAGAAATTAAGGCTGTCTGAGAACAGTGTACTCAGAAATTGCTTTCAGGTTTGTCTGCCACTATAAAAATGGATCTAACAGAGGCTACAGATGATGAACAGATTTTACTGGACAAAATAGAGACTGAGGCTGACTTGAACGTGGATTTGAAAATGGATTCTAAAAATGCCAGATGAGAAGAGTGATATAAAAAAAGATGATGTGGATTTTGAAAATGGGTTTAAAAATGACAGGCTATAAGAGTGATATGGAAAAATATACCATAGTGGATTTACAAATGAAACTGGCTGATGATTTAATAACTAAAAGGGATATACAAACTTGGATAGCCTTCTTATCTTGGATTTACAAAAGGGGCGTGTTAAACAACTGAAGCTGTTCCTGAGAGGAGACAAAGAGAAAATGATAAGAAATCAATTTCTGCGATATTATTTGAAGGGATTAAAGATCGAGCTTTTTAAAAGTAAATGGAAGTAATACAAAGTGAATTTATTTAACCAGGATTAAAATACAGATGTTGTAGTTTCTGGTAACTATTAATGGAATTTCTTTTTGACCAGGACTGAATGGCCAGGCTTTAAAGATTTGGTTATAAATGGGGAGAGATTTCATTCATTCATTCATTCATTCATTCATTCATTCATTCATTCATATTCATATTCATTCATTCATTCATTCCTCCCTCGCATGTCCCTCAGAGAAAGTGATAAGCTGGAATACAAAGTGGATTTATTTAATTAAGCTTAATATATATACATGTTGTTATTTCTGGTAGCTGTTAATGAATTTTTGCTGAATAGGACTGAATGATGAGTTTTTACAATTTATTCATTGATAAGAGATGAGATATGGGAAGAAGAGATTAACTTTAAATTGAAATATTAGAGAAGATGTTAAGTTACTGAAGTTGTTTATACTTGGGGGGGGAATCATTCTTTTATATATCTTTTTCTTATTTTTTTTCCATTTTCCTTTTCTTTTTTTTCTCTCTTTGCACTTTTCTTTCTCTTTTCTTCACATTTTATATTTTTCTTAGTTTGCATTAGTCCTTTATCTTTGTACTTGTAAACTTTAATAAAATTATTACACACAAAAAAAAGAGAGAGTTCGTGTCTGAGCATTCATATTCTGGCTTCCTGGAGAGGGCTTCGGCATGCTTGTTATAGCTGCTGGGAATGTAAGTAATTTTAAAATTAAAGCAGGAAAAAAAAACCAGTGACCACCAGATTTGTCTTTGGTTCAGCTTCCTAGATAAAATAAGGAATAAAAGACAAAAAGTAATTAGCAAATCCCGGCAGGTGTACATCCTTGACTTTAGGTGGAGGTTGGCATGTCAACATAGCATCAACCTTACTAGGATCCATGGAAATGCCTGTGGAAGAAATGCGAAGGCCTAGGAAGTCGATTGTGGTCTTTTCAAATTCCTATTTGGAGAGCTTAGCAAATAAACAATTTTCTCAGAGTCTTTGTAGCATGGTTCGCACATGTTATTCATGTTCTGTGAGGGACGTGGAGAAAATCAGAATATTGTTGAAATAAATAATGATGTAATAGTCCAGGAGATCTCAGAACACATCATTCATGAAATGCTGGAAGATTGCAGAAGTATTAGTAATCCAAAGGGCATGGCCGTGTATTCGAAATGCCCATACTGAGGGTGAAATGCTGCCTTCCATTCATCTCCTTTTCATATGCGTACTAGGTTATATGCTCCTGTTTTCAAATTCTTGTCAATAAAGTCCCCCAGGGCTGCCAGCTCTGGTTCTGACAAAGAGTAAGGATGACCTACTGGGATCTTAGCCCCTGGCACTAGGTCAATGGGGCAGTCAAATAGCTGGTGTGGCGGCAACTGATCTGATTATCTTTCACTGCATACATCTGTGAATCTTTGATATTTAACAGGAAGGCCAAGGAGCGTATCTCCTTCTTGTTCTGCTGCTAGGATTGCAGGAATGGCAGCCATGTGGTAGTTACAGCAGGGAGCAGGGAAACTTATGGTTCCTGTAGACCACACAATTTGTGGATCGTGTGCTTGAAGCCACTCCAAGCCCAGGACAATGGGAAAATGGGATGTTGAAGCAAGGTAGAACTCAACCCTTTCCTGGTGAGTTCCCAGTCGCATGAGCAATAGTGTTGTGCCCCAAACCACTGGGCCTGATGGTAAAGGGTGACTACTTATGGTCTCAACCACTGGGGGGGTGGGGGGCTAAAGGCATGCTTTGGAATGCCATGGTCTGCTGCGAACTGAAGTTGGTTGTAGCTCCAGAATCTGCCATAACCTATGTTAATATGGAACTTTCCCCTGACACTTGAAGTTCCCAGTCATTACTAAGTGGCTGGTGGGTGTTACTCAGGGCTTCTGGGCTGCCTTGCTGGTAACTGGCCTTGGTCTAGTAAGTCCCCTAGGCTGGGCCCTTCCCCTTTTTCCAATAGGGTGGGGTGTGGTGCCTTAATAGGAGATGAGGCAGCCATAAGACCTTGGCCTCCACAATATAAGCACAGCCCCTCTCTGTAACATCAAGTTTTTTCTTCTGGAGTTAACTTTGTCTGGCTCCCACCTACTTACATAAGCTCCTTAGTTGCAGAAGGTGCAGGCAGGTCTGCTCTTTTAGAAGCTTGAACTCTGGCCCTTCATTGCTATAAATGCCCATCTATATGTAGGCAGAGCTGTGTCAAGCCTTGAAGGCTTTCTGGATGCTCAGTTCAAGCCAATTCATCAAGGAGTTCATCTGATAGACCTTCCTGAAACTGGTCCAGCAAAGCTGCATCATTCCAGTCCAAGTCTTGGGCTAGTAACCTAAAAGCACTGAGGTACTCAACCACTGGGTCACACTCTTGCTTTGATTCATGAATGTGCTTATTGGCAGTCTGGGCTTTCACAGGATCTGCATACTTCATCTCTAACTGCTGGCTAAACTAATCAAAGTTATCTAGCAGAGGGCTCTGTTGCAGCAAAAAAGATGTAGCCCATTTAGCAGCAGTTTGATAAACAGATTACAAATCTCACATGCTTATATTATTTGGGAACTCATCAGGGTGTAGACTCCTGTAGAAATTGTATTGTGCAAAGAAAGCTGGAAACTGATCAAGACAGTCATCAAATTTCTCTGGGATGGCCACTGGGCACTTCCTGCATAGAGGAGAAGGATATTTGGCTATGTTAACAGCTCATGCAGCCAGGTGGAGAATAGGTCCACATGCTAGTTTGCCAGAGCATTTTCAGCTATAAGCTGCTCCACTGTGATTTTTAAAGCTTTTCTTTCCCTCCTGTGCAGGAAATTGGGGAGGGGGGGCGCGGTTTGGAGACAAACTATCCTGTTTCAGGTTTTAAACTCAGTTGCTAGGTGAAAATAGCAGTGTCCTCAAGGCTGAATAGATAATGGCAGACAACGAATGTAAATCCAAAACAGAGTCTCAGGAAAAGAAAGCTTGCCTGAGTGGTTTCGCTTTCAAGAGGAGTATGCAGAAGAATAGCCAAAATCCAGTCAGAAGTTTAGAGAGCCAAGTGAGGTTTGTCAGCCAGTCCAAGGTCAAAGTTTCACAAGCAAGATTCACAAGAACGACATCCCAGAGCAGGAAATCAGATCGTTGTTTCCAACAAATCTCACAAACCAACCTCACCTCAGTTTTCTTGGATCGCTTTCTTAATAGAAGGTGTGGTGATAGTACAGACCTAAACTGCCTTGATCTGAGCAAAACACCCTGTGAT